TCCAGAGTGTTGTTCAGCATGGGGGTGAGTAGAAAATGAAGGCTAATCATGTTTTGGGTGTACTATTCCTTTAAGAGCATAATATCTGATTCTTTTTATTTTAAGGGGCAACATTACTCGTTCCTGTGGCAGATCATCTTATTAGCCTGCTCAAACGAATGGGAGATACAGTTATTTTAAGAAATGTTCACTTAATTTTAGATCAGTTTTTACAAAAAGTACACAAAGCAACAGCATTTTGAGCGTAATCACATTTCAGCTCTTCCAAAACACACAACAAAAAAAAACAAAACAAGGGATAACATCTAAAACTTGCAGAGGGTCTCAGAAGACTTTAAAAAGTGTGCTCAATATGCACATCCCTATGTGTCTGCGAGCAACTAGGTCACCCGGATTTTCAAGGGGAGGAGGTTTTTCTTCAGGGTGAAACATTCACTGTGCTGGTTTTTTAAGACGATGCACAGAGTGGAGCATGCAAAGGGCTTACAGACGATTTGTCACAATGATCCCAAATAAACGAGTTCTAAAAAAACAGACTGTTGCTTTTTCTTTCAAACCAGCAATCTTTTGCTCTTATATCACCTTTTTCTCCTGCGTAGAGAGGGAATCTTAGCCCACTTATTTCAGTGATAACAAAATTACTATTTACAAATGTCAAAAGCGCAGAGCTGATGATTTTGTCCAGACGAGCAGTCAGTAAAATGTCTTATAACATCTGAGACTCCTCACCCCCTAGCAAAATGTAAAAACTAAAAGCTGTGAACACATGCAGTTCTCACATACACCCACGCAGAAAAAAAAAAGTCTATTCACAAAGACGCTACAGGGAGCAGACTATTTGAGGAAACGCTGTGACATTCTGTTGCTCTGTGTGGCAAACGCAGAAATCAATATTTTTAGCAGATGCATCCCCCCCCCCCCCCCCGTCTGTAGGATAACATCTGGGCGATGGGCTTTAACCCGGGGGAGGCGCAGTAGAATCCACCGGCGGCAGAAATGTCAGGAGGAGGTACATACCAGGAGGGATTCACAAACATGTGCAGCTATTCTCTGCTCACCGATACTTGAATTAGCCACATGCAGTAAATCAAAATACAGAGTATAAATGTCAAAAAAGGGAAGTTAGGATAAATTGAGTAATGCTGCACCGTATTGTAATTTCTTATCTGCTCCATTCAGTTTCTCCTGTGTCATGTAAATAACATTAAGCTGGGTTAGAGGAGGGAATTGCATTTGTCCAACCAATACAGAGACCAGAATAAACGAGACATTTCTTATGCTTCCATTTATTATAAGTGTAACCCTTTAAAATGGAGCGGTTTAAATGCTAAGTGCCTCAAGGCTCCAGCTGTATTTATTGCACCGACGTTAGAATGGGCATTTCTTTATTTCCTAACCCAAATGTAGTAACGTTTTAACTAAATCAGTTCAATAATCAACCGAAACGTAAAAACTCAGGATGGGCTTGCAAAAGCATTAAATCTACGGAGTGAGCTTTGCTCCATTATTGCTGCAAACAAAGACAATTTAAATTTTTTTTAAATGAAAATAAAAAAAAGCAATCCAGTGGTGAAATTTAATAGGAGAAATAGGAAATTTCACCACAATGTCCACTAGTCTCATTTTAATGCAACTTTTCTTCCCTTAACGTATGTGAGGATAACAGTTGGCCGTACATGACGGGATACACGTCCGTTAAGGTAGTTTAAAGTCTATTTTTCGTACAAAACTAAATTGATAAACGGGTATTTACTGTGGGTATGCTCATCTGACGGAGCACCGGTCCAGCTACGTCTTGTGACGTCTTACCATAGGCCGTCTGAAAATAAACTTTTAGTTAAAAAAAACAAAAAACTATCTTAACTAAAATAATGAAGTTTTGTTTATTCCTTTAATTAAGAAAAGAGATTAATTTGGCTGTTTACTCAGATTTTTTCCTCTACAGTTTTTCTTTTATTATTTATATATTTCGTATTGTATTAAAAAAAAGTATATATTTTTTTCCACTGATTTCTGAATAGCATTTCCTTTAAATATCTTTATTCAAATTTACAAAATGTTTTCTTTGCTTGAAACAGTAATGGCACAAAACTCCCTCCATATAATTAACCTTTAACTTTCACCATCTCCTCACTTTACATCCACAAAACTCCGTTCATGTTAGAATATGTGATAGATCAAGATGGCGCAGAACCAAAAAATGGACAAAAAATGATAAAATGGTTTTAGTATTTTTTCCTCAACAAGCTAACATGTTTATTAAAAACAATATCCCTTCAAAATTCCCCTCATAAACATTAGGCATGTTTAAATCCTGCTGTGAAAAGGGAAAATCAGATCTATATGTAGATGTCTAGGTCTAACACTATAGACCTACAGTATCTGGACATGGCCGTCTATCTAAACTGAGAGGAACCACAACAAAAGCATTGTTTAAAACAGACCATGGTCACTAGAGGGGAGCTGCAAACATGAACAGCTCAGGTGGACGAATCTTTTCACGCAGATCTGTCATTTCCAGAAGAGTAACAAGGAGAAAACAAACAGAAGAAGAACTTAGAAAGTAGGTTTGGCACAGAGCAAACATGAAGGAAAAAAATCTTCTGATCTGATCTTACCTGATCAGACAAAAAACAAACTTTCAGGTTTAAATGTAGAAAACATTGGTGGAGGAGTAAAGCATGCGACCATGTACTTTGATCCTCAAAGCGGCCGTCAGAGGTTTGAGTCCCGGCCTGTGGACCTGTGCCACATCTCTTTAATCCAATTTCCTGTGTGTCTACTTTCAAAAATAACTTAAAAAGGCCTTTATTGCCTAAAATATAGTCTTTACACCTAATATGGAGCAGAATCCCACTACACACCTTTCCCATATGAATGCACGGTAATGGCTGAATCATGCTCTGATGGCTGTGTTACTTTGGCTGGGACAAAGAAGCTAATCTGATAATAGGAGGGTTGAGGTGGAGACAAAATGAGTGGCCAGAGGTACAGCTAAAAACTTTAGCAGTTTTGGGAAGAAGATTTGGGCAAAATGTGATGATAGAAATGTCCTTTATAGATAAACAAAATGTGGCTGTGCAAGGTACTGACTCATGGGAGGGGAGGGTGGTTTGAAAACCAGCATTATAAACCACTTTGTAGAGAGGATTCATCAAATCCTGATAAAAACACAGCAGTTAAAGAGATATAACCTAACATTTTGACCATAAACTACGCGCTACAAACTGCATAGAATGTACCTGTGCTTCCAGGAGGCGAGTCAAGCTGACGGACTAACCCGTCTCTGAGGGTTCAGATGGATCTCTCAGGGATAATTCTGACATTTATCTCCTCATCTCCTCTGCCGAATCCCTCTGGAAAGCTCTAAAAGTCGACCTCTGTGTCGCTAATTTCAGACACTTAATGAGATTTTTAATTGATGACCTTTTGAGAACAATTTCATACCACAGCTCATGAGAGCACAATGATGGCAGCCAACTCGTTTAGCACCGCCCGTATGCAACCATACTTCAACATTCTGATCATTTTCCTATTATGATACAAAAAAACTGAGTTTTAACTTCAGGTTTGAACCAACACTGAATAGGAATTTGCTTGCGTTGCTTCAAACTAGAAAGGAAAAATATCTAATAGATCTAATGAAATCCAACAGTGAGTGTGCAATGAGCTGATGCCATTTGTCCTCTTACCGTGGTGAGATATCACAACCCTGCTGCATGAAGGCGCCCAGTGAAAACCAAAGCGAATTGAAAATGCCAAACTCGTTGGTCTGTTCTGGGCTCTGCTGGTTGGCGTTCTGCTGCGTCGGCGTCTGGCTCGGCTGCACCCCGTTGGAGGCCGCCGCCTGTGTGGGAGTCTGAGGCTCGGCTCCCTCCTCGTAGTCTTCGGCGTGCCACTCGTAAGGGCTGAAGCGACTGACGAGGAAGAGGACGACGCTGACGCCGATGTAGGCGAACACGATGCACATCCAGATCTCGTAAGCTAGCGGGTCCAGAAAGGAAAACACTCCAGGCTTGGACTTGGTGGGCTTCTTGATCATGATGGAAATGCCCAAAGACATGAAGGGCTTTGAAAAGTCTATCACCTCCTCGCGGACAAGGGTGATAGTAAGAGGAGCGACGGCCAGATCCGCTTTCTGCCGGTGGAACAAAAACACACACAGAAAAAAAGAGAGTTTAAGGTTATATTAAGATATTTTCCATGTAGAACAAAAATTTATGAATGTAGATGAAGTTTACTCTCATATGGAGTGAATTTTGTTCCATTATTGTTACAAAGAGCATGTTTTGTAAATGGAAAGTTGGATTAAATGCAAACCAGAACTGAACTTTGAAAAACTTATTTTAATTTTATATTTTTCTGAGTTTTACTAAATTGCATTATTTTCAAATAACATTTCACAGATCAGATGTTTTCACTTCACGCTTTCTTCCAGAGTGAGGAGTGAAGACGCGTTCCTAACGGTCTGCATATGGTTTATATTGGGCTAGAAGTCTAGTTGGATCTAAGAAATGTTGTTTGATAGAAGGCATTTTGTTCAACTCTGAAAAATATTAATTTAAAAAAAAGATTGAAAATATAAACTCCATACAGAAAATAAAACAATAAATAAAATAAAAAAATCCATAAAAAAATAAACATAGAAGAAAAAATAATAATCTAATACTTTGAAATAAACAAAATATTGGAAAATAGTTAAGTTATTCCAAACGTGTCTTTTTTTAATCAAGACATTTTTTTAAGTTTCATTTCTGGAAGACATTTTTTTTCTTTAAATTTGTATTAAAAAAAATTTACCATCCATCCATCCATCCATCCATCTCTGTTTACTCACCCCATACACCAGTTCTCCAACCATGCCATTCCACATCTTTGTTTCAGGATCTCGGGCTCCATACTTGCCATCGGAAACAATCTTCAGCTTGTACTGGTAACCCACATGCTTGGCTATCTCTGCAGCTAGCTCTACAATGTAGCCTTCATACTTATCATTCCCTGTAAGCTGTTCGTGGTTCTTTTTTAGCATCACGTAGGGAGACTCCTGTTGGTTAGAAAAAAAAAAACAGACAAAACAATAATATCAAGATTCTATTGTAATCATTGAGCATTATGTATTCTACATTTTGAATTTGACACCTTTCTAGCAAACTGATCCATTTAAAGAAATGGCTTATTGACATTCAGAGCTGTCAACACTAACTGACAACAATAGACACTTTTTTTCTGTGCACTGCTGCCATCTTGCTTTGTGTACACGAGCCTCTCTATGTGTCCAGGTTCATGTCCTTGTTTGATGATTGTATAATCGTGGATCTTTTGTGGTTTCATAGCACTCATATTAGCTTAAGCGTTCTAATGTTATGTTGTGATGTAATATGTCATTTTACTTCTATTCTTTAGGGTGACTTTTACCATTTGACTACAGGGATTGCAAGAGAAAAATAGCCTTCTGGCTAACTCATTGACAGGAATGTTTAATAATATGCACTGTACCTGTGAAAAATAAACACAGAAAAAATAAAAGTTTGCACTCGATCTCTGGAGGAAAAAAAATGTAATTATTGAAAAAAAAAAAGGTAACGACAAATAATGGAGTCCTTTGGGGTGGTTCTGGGGGCCCTCACACCTGCTTTTGAGCACATATCCTTGCTGAAAGAACCACACATTGATATACACCACAGGGATTAGATCAAAGTTTTCAGGGATAAAGAGTTATGCTAAATCCTAAACTGGAACTTTAATTATAAATAGCATTATGAAAACCCTATAGGTTCTGCTTTCGATGTTTTCTATGATTGTATCCATCAGATACTCCCTGTTTTCCATAGCAGGTGTTCTGTGATTCCAAAAACGTAAAAAAATAAAAAATAAAAACAATCCACTGGACTTTGTTTCCAAGTTTGAAGATGTTTTGCTTCCCATCCAGGAATCTTTTTCAATTTAAAATGTCAGAAATAGCGTTGCGTTTGAGGCTTAATAGAGTGGACCAAAATCAAAGTCTTGTTTTGGCTTAGAAAACATGCAAATTGAACCGGCAGAATGCTGTCAAGGGACATCCATTCAATTTTGCGTGTTTCCTAAGCCATAAAAAGAGTTTGTTTTTGGTCCGCTCTATAAAACCTGGAACTCAACGCTATTTCTGACATTTTGAATTGAAAAAGTTCAATGGATGGGAAACGAAACGTCTTCAAACTTGGAAACACTTACTTTTTTTTGAATGACTGACCTGGATGACTGAGAATCTCCACAAACATAGGTGTCCTGTGTATTTTTTTTTCTTCTTTTCATTCTTGTTTCTCTTTTCACCACCCCTCCCCCCCTCCCCCTTTATTCCTTTCCGGTCTTCTGTTCTTATCTTCATTCCTATCTCCATGTCCACTGTATGTTTTGTTTTTTTCCTCCCCAAAGACACGTTTAATAAAGTTATTATTATAATGTTCAACTGTGAGGCAGAACCTTATGACAATAGCCATGATGGTCCACTTGGGATAGCAACTCTTGGGCTATTATCCAGCTCCAGGACATCAATTCTCAATGCAATATTGGCAAGGAACACACGTTAAAAGAAAAAAAAGGAAAATCAATTTAAAATACAAGGTGTGAATATTCAGCTTTGTTCCTTAAAGACCGGTTTCATTCTTACCAAGAAGGGATGAT